TGCCGCCTTTCAGGACATATGACGTTCGATTCAAAATTTTTTATATTTTAATAGTTATGCACCTCCCAAAAATGGACTTTGGTGGCTCGGGATAAGAGACTTGTAGCGTTCACAGTTTTTTTGAACATGGCCGGAGACGCTACCGCGTCTCCTGATAGATATACATTTAATAAATTGTATATAATGAAGTATATATAATAGATTACGTTATGTGACATCGTCCATATCATTTCATATGTCTTTGTTTTGGTATATGTATACAGCTTTCTATTATAATATTACCTTTAATTGTTTTTCAATTCTTTCTCACTTAAACGCCTTTGTGTTTTTACGCCTTTACGCATTAATTAAAAATATGCTAATTTTCTGTTTTCATTAGAGTCTTCGTTATCAGATCCAAAGTTCACATCGGGCCACAAGTCCGTAAATATTTCGTTTAAAATTACACTTTCTCGTTTATGAAAGGAGACTTTAAAGAATATCACTTTAAAGGACTTTAAAGAAAATCAGAATTTTGTGTCTTCAATCGAAATCGTTTATTCATAAAAAAAATTATAAAATCAATTATAATGTTCTTAACCTTCTTCACTTCTATTGTGTGTAGTAATAGCACAATTAAAAAATGTATAAAGAATGCTCTGTTGAATAAAATCATAATATATAAAATGCCAATTAGAGCCACACATACACTGGATGTATGTGTTTAGTCAAATTGTATCAGTTTAAGGTGAAATTGTATTGAAAAGGATCGTGTCTACAATTGAAACGTCTATGATTAATTTAATTCGAACAAAAAATCATGGACATTACCGATACGATCGTGGACATTGGCTACATAGTTCAATGTCAACGTTTTGTGGACATTAGAGGCGCTTCAAAATAAAGTCGCAGCTAAATCCCGGGCATGGCCACTCTCAGGCTTCTCTCTGGATGTACATACATGTATTCATGTATATGTATAAGTATCATAAACTATAGATACTTACATCATATATATAATTATACTTTTTAACTTTTTATCATCACAAATGAGTTCCATCACGTACAGATTATAATAAAACTATGGTTTCAGTTGTAATTCTACTTATATAATACATACTAGTTTTTAGAATAATCCATAGTCAATTGTTCTTTAATTACTCATACGATATGATATATGTACATAGACAGATAAGACATAGGGTGTTTACGTGAAGTAAACAGAAAGATAAAAGATTAACTAAAAGATTAAGTAAATATATTTTGTATATAATTTTTTATAATTTTAATGTTTACAATATTTATATAATTTTTATAATATTTATATTTTTTATTTATATATATAACATAAATTTATAAATATTATACAATTATTATAAAAATTATTATTAAAAACATTATTATACAATCGACCCTCTCCGGATAGACTTACAAAACATCTATAACAGCAGGGTATCAATCATGTAACTTTTAGAGCGAAATCCGAATATATGTATGAACATATACATGCAAAAAATTTTCACTTTTCACGTTTCGACTACAGCACGGATTATAATCCAGATTGGTCTAGGAACATTTAAAGTCTTCAGATTGAATACCACTGCTCAATCCGATTTAGAGATCCGATTACTTCACGTAAACGCCCTATGTCTTATCTATCTATGTACATATATCATATGAATAATTATCATTATTCATATAACTTAATCCAAATTTGACAAAACTGCGGTATATTTAGGATCTTTCTTAATATCTTTCAATAGTACTTTCGAATTGATATTAACAAGTGTCGAAAGTTAGAGAACATAGAGATGTTCTCTACGTTCTTACTTGTAACCGCTTTTTAAATTCGTTATGTGTACTGTCACCCTTTATCAACTGGTATATTATGGTATAATCGGCGTTAGAACCGTACGTGTGCTTGGTCTTTAGATGATCATCGAGCAATGACTTTTCACTAATTTTAAATAAGCACAGGGTGCACTTAAATTGGAAGCCCTCACTATGAACTAATCTAGCATGGATGGTCATGTTAGGTTTGAGAACACATTTAAAATCGCAAACATTACATTTCCAATAATCGGGACTGGGTAACTTCTCCTCGGTCTCTTCCTGGACCGGTTTTGTTGAACATTTTTCATGTTTTCTATTTCCCTTACTACTTTCACGAAATGTCTCTTCTCCGGATGCTTGTCAGCAAGATGCTGCTTCACAAAGTTCCTGGATGTCATTTTAATAATATCAGAGAGCATAGAAAGTGCACTTGTGTCAACAAGAAAATCTTAAAACATCTGACAAGTAACATATATTTCCTTTTCGTGTATTAATTTTATCAGGAAAACAGCAATCTGTTTAATTTAATTACTATCAAGTGTCCACTATCATAAAACAAATGTCCACTAATCATATTTGTCACATGTTTTAAAATTATATCAAGTGTTTATACATGTATATAAAATTAAAATTTTTATCCCATAAAAAAAATATAAAGATACACACACACACGCACGTACAATAAAATTAAATATAATTAAAATTACCATACAAAATATACAAACCTATAATAATGAAAATGATTACAAAGGGAGCATTTATAGAGTTTTGCGTCAGACATTTTAAAATAAATGCGCATTTTGTCGATTATATTTTGATTTCTTAAAACAGTAGATGTCTCCACCGCTTCCCTGGTTGTGGCGCCTCATGCGTATCCGCCCAAAGGGAACGGAGTTTTATGTTGGCAGCGGCGACTATGTTATGTACTTACTTCTCTTGTAACCGGTCAACCAGTTAAGTACCGCAATAAAGACTATAGTACTCTGAACAACGTATTAGTAGTGATATACCTACATTGGTGACCTCGACGTGATCTCGTCAGACACAGCATAGTCCAGGTCGTCAGAGAGATTGGTTTCGGATTTGTCGCGTACCCGCGAGTTACATTAAGCGGGCGCGCGACGAATTCCGTTGTTACAGAGTCAGCCATTACGGCATCATCGCGTCAGCAGAGCTCGATAATTCAGCACGACAGGATAAAGTGTAGAGTTGGACTGCGTAACCTAGACGTGGTTCTCAGCCTGTGGCAGCGATAACCTCTTTGTGGTTCTAGAACATACGCCGGCAGGACTCATCGCAGCACGCAGAAGAAAATTTGCGTCAAGTTATTTCGCGCATGCGTAGCGTGTAAGTAGGCACATTGTTCATTGTTAGTGTACCGGTAGTTTCGTCAACAATGACCGAAGAAACTGTTCGCATAGAATCCTATCGCGTCCCGAAAATTCCGCCCTTCTGGCGAAATGCCCCTGAGGCATGGTTTATACAAATTGAAGCGTCGTTCCGTGTCGCTAACATTACGGTGGAACGTACTAAAGTCGATTACCTTCTGACAGGGGTCGACCATGAAGTAGTCACGAACATAACCGATTTAGTGGTTATGAATCCTCCCCCCGAGGACCTATACAAACGAATTAAAGAGCGTATCTTATCCGTTTATGCGGTCTCCGCTGAGACTCGGTTACGGCAATTATTAAAAGGTCAAATAAATAGTGACCAAAAGCCGTCACAATTGTTAAACCACATGAGAAACCTCAGTAACGGCCAATGTAGCGATTCGGTATTGAAATCATTATTCTTAGAACAATTACCGGAAGCGCACAAAGCTATTTTAGTTTCATCAAATGAATCTGATTTGCCGAAGTTAGCGGAAATAGCCGACAAGCTGGCGGACTTAAATAACGCGTCATGCAGTGCAGTCGCAGTACCGTCAGATAAAACTAACCCCCAAATCGACGCCAGTTCAACGAATATCGAAGAAAAGTTATCAAAGTTGACTAAACAGTTAGCGTCTTTAAACAAGGAAGTAACAAAACTTCGGCGACGTCGCTCCTCGTCCCGCGGCCGATCGCGCGATCTTTCGCCTAAAAAAGGAAAACAATCGGGACCTTGTTACATTCATCGTAAATACGGAGCGAAAGCCACGTCATGCCGGAAACCATGCTCTTGGCAATCTGATAGCGATTCGGAAAACTAAATCCCCATACCCGCGCGGAGACGGCCGGGTCTAAGGGGGCTTTACAAAGCCGCCTCCATGTAACCGACCGGAAATCTGGTCAGCGTTTCCTTATCGATACGGGCGCAGAAATTTCTCTACTACCAGCCTCCGTTCGCGAAAAACAGAGACCGTCGTCGTTTAAGTTATTTGCAGCGAACGATTCCACAATCGATACGTTCGGTGTCCGTCGCATCACGTTAGATTTAGGTCTCCGTCGACCGTTGTCATGGAGATTTCGCATAGCTGCTGTACCAACGGCAATAATCGGTGCAGACTTGTTAAAAGCTTATAAACTAGTAGTAGACTTACATAAACATCGACTTATAGATAACGTTACGAATCTTCATGTATCGGGTAAAGTACGCAAAATTCCCGAAAGAAGGATCTCAACAGTCAAACTCGACTCCAAGTTTTCGGAGATTTTAGCCGAATTTCCAGAGATAACGGGCGTAAATCAACAAATTTTTCCTACACTGCGAGAAGTCGAGCATCATATAATAACTACAGGCCCGCCAATCGCAGAACGTCCTCGCCGGTTGCCACCGGATAAGTTGAAAGCAGCAAAAGCTGAATTTAAATTTTTAATGCAAGCAGGAATTTGTAGGCCGTCGAATAGCCCTTGGGCTAGTCCTATCCACCTCGTTCTTAAAAAGTCAAACGAGTGGAGAGTTTGCGGTGACTACCGCCGATTAAACGCGATCACTGTTCCTGATAAATACCCGATTCCACATTTACACGATTTCTCGGCTAACCTTCTTGGGAAAAAAATTTTTTCGTCACTTGATCTGCGAAAAGCTTATTATCAAATCCCAATAGCTGAATCAGACGTGCCGAAGACAGCAGTTATTACCCCTTTCGGTCTATTCGAGTTCCTCTCGATGACTTTCGGTCTCCGTAATGCTGCGCAAACTTTTCAAAGATACATTCATAGAGCGTTAAGAGATTTAGATTTCGTTTACGTTTATATAGACGATATCCTTGTTGCATCCTCGTCTGAAGAGGAACACGAAACGCACCTCCGCTTAGTTTTTCAAAAACTTAAGGAATTTGGACTATTTTTAAACGCCTCCAAATGTACTCTTGGAGTAAAAGAAATAATTTTTTTAGGGTATCTAGTAAATGGTGAAGGCATAAAACCGACACATGAAAAGATAGCAGCCATTAGGGACTTCCCCAAACCTCGCACAGTCGTCCAATTGCGAAGATTCCTGGGAACTCTAAATTTTTACAGGCGTAGCCTCCCCCAGGCAGCACAAACTTTGGCTCCTCTACATAAATATTTAGAAAACTCCCACAAAAACGATAAACGAGAAATTAAATGGTCCCCTGAAGCAGAAGCCGCATTTGCAGCGGCAAAATCGAAGTTAATTAATGCGACTCTACTCACGCACCCATCAACTAAGGCAGAAACTCGTGTGGTCTCAGATGCTTCAGATTTCTTTTTAGGAGCGTCATTGGAACAAAAAATTGGGGGGTTTTGGAAGCCTCTAGCTTTTTTCTCTAAAAAATTATCCTCCGCTCAAAAAAATTATAGCGCTTATGACCGTGAGCTTACCGCGGTATTCGAATCGATCAAATTCTTCCGACACTTTTTAGAGGGTAGAAATTTCAAGATCTTAACAGATCATAAACCATTAACCTTCGCTTTCAAACAACGTTCTGACAAGGCGTCTCCTAGACAGTTACGACAGCTGTCATTTATAGCACAGTTTTCTACAGACATTGAATTTCTTGCCGGATCCGACAATATCGTCGCGGATAGTCTCTCCCGCATAGAAGGCCTTCGCCTCCCGGTAGAATTCGAATTAGTCGATTTAGCTTCCCGGCAAAAAGAAGACGAAGAACTTAAACATTTATTACTTTCTGACTCATCGTCACTTAAATTAAAAAGATTTATCTGGGGCTCCTCAAATTCCGAGCTCTATTGCGACCTGTCGGCAGAAGCCATCCGTCCTTACATACCAGTTTCTTTGAGAAGACAAGTTTTTAATCTCTTCCACAATCCCGCTCATCCCAGCGCTAAGGTCACTGATCGTATGATCCGACAACGATATATCTGGCCGAATTTGCATCGCGACGTTACTAAGTGGGCAAAAAGTTGCATTGACTGTCAACAATCAAAAATTTCTAGACACGTCATACAGACTCCTGCTCAATTTACGGCTCCCGATGGCCGCTTCGAGCACGTTCACCTTGATATCATTGGACCTCTTCCAGAAAACAATGGTTTCAAATTTTGTTTAACACTAATTGATCGTTTTTCCCGTTGGGCAGAAGCGATCCCGATAGCTGATACCTCAGCAAGAACTATCGCGAAAGCATTCTACGACAACTGGATCACACGCTTCGGTGCCCCTGGGACAATCACTACGGATCAAGGGACTCAATTCGAGTCTCAGCTTTTCTCGGCCCTTCTTTCCTTCATCGGCTGCAAGCGCATCCGCACGACGGCGTACCACCCAGCCTCCAACGGGATGATAGAGCGCTGGCACCGTTCTCTTAAAGCAGCAATTATGTGTCACAACACTAAAAATTGGATAGATATCCTCCCAACGGTACTGCTCGGATTAAGGACTCACGTTAGATTAGACACTAAGGCTTCTCCAGCCGAATTCGTATATGGCACGACCCTTAGGGTACCAGGAGAGTTTTTCCTTCAAGGAGATTTCAGACCAGACCCCCAAATTTTTATTAACGATTTTCGCCAAGGTATGCAACAAGTTAGGCCAGTTCCAGTAACCCACAAGTGCAAGAAAAACAACGTTCGTTTTTAAAGAACTCGCTAACTGCTCACACGTTTTCTTACGTAAAGATTCAGTAAAAAGACCCCTAGAACGTCCTTATAGTGGCTCGTTCAAAATTGTGGAAAGGATCTCAGATAAAGTTTACTCTATCGAGTTAAATGGTAGGACAGTTAGCGTCGCAGTAGAACGTCTGAAACCTGCACATTTTCTGTCAGAAGACACAGACAATCAACCTCAAAAAATTACCCTCATAACACCCACACAATCTAGCCAGACCCCGTCACCAGATTTAACAGTACAAAAACCCATTAGAACTTATCCGAGTGGCAAAGGACGGGTACGTTTCAATTTAACTAAAAATAAGTAACAATATTACACATCATCCAGCGTTAGTTTTAAGTATAATTTTAAAATTAATATTAGTGTTTCTACTTTGTATGTTCCTACATAATTTAAGTTAGTATCGTTAACTCTAGAAGGGGAGTATGTGGCGCCTCATGCGTATCCGCCCAAAGGGAACGGAGTTTTATGTTGGCAGCGGCGACTATGTTATGTACTTACTTCTCTTGTAACCGGTCAACCAGTTAAGTGCCGCAATAAAGACTATAGTACTCTGGACAACGTATTAGTAGTGATATACCTACATGGTGTTATTTATCTAGAAACAATAAAATAAGAAACATACACGGTAATGGAGATTAATAAGTTACGTGTCAGAGTAATGAGAATCTGATACATTTACATACAGCAACACTTTCATTAGGATCAGATTTGTTCTTAATGCAAAACTCATGAACTCGATGACACTAAAATTGTATTATATGCTTACATATATGAATAATTATCATACATTCAAATTCCGTGTTTGTACTGTACTTGTCATACATAGTCTAAATACATTAATTAGTGCATTTAGTAATAGTAGTTAATTTCTAAGTCTAGGCTGTATATTTCTAAGGTCTACCTTCTCCACAGAAACCACTCGTGGTTTCCTTGGACGTAAAATACGTTTGGACTTACAATTTGCTGTTAATTCATTTGTAAGACGTTCACCATCCGAGCTTTCCATCACTCGTTTTCTCTTTTTCTTAACATGAGACGTTTCATTTTTGTCCGAACTACTACTATTGTTACTTTCGGATATTAATTCAACGTTTTTAACCTTAAAATTTTTCTCCTTAAGTAATTCACTGAACATCTGTCCATATTTTGCTTTGCCTTCGTCAGATTCAAACCAGTCGTTAATTACAGCGTTCATTGATTTGTTTGTCCTACGTGTGACCATCTGCACAGTTAGGACATATAGTGTGGTCGTAATAATTTTGGATGTCTTAAGAGGAAATTGGTTTCATCTGTTAAGGGGTTTTTTTTCGACTGATGAGGACTTT